CCAGAGACGTCCGAAGACCGGGAAGGGTAAGTATCCAAGCGATGGGCTGGGTGTAGAGACTCCGGGCAGCTGGCGCCCGAACAGGGACCTGAGGGACCTGAAGCCAGGGAAAGCCGCTTGGCCTCCTTTACGAAGGAGAAGGACTAGACAGCCTTAGGACTAGCATTAGGGCTAGCCTAAGAAGAGGAAATATGGGTCAGGGATATGGTGTTCCCCTGATCAAGCCCGAGGACAAGGCAGTGCTTGCCTGCCAGCTTTACAAGCTGTGTAAGCAGCAGCACATAAAGCCCCACATAAAACAGTGCTGCAGTTTTGTAGGAAAGATATGGGAAATATCTCCGTGGCTAGAACATTCAGGGATTTCAAAAGAAAACTGGGGTATAGTAGGTAGACAGATGGCCTCCTATGAAAAAACTAATCCCGTTGTCCTGACTGATCAGGATTTCACCTTTTACTCTATCATACAAACGCTGTTGTGAGGAGCTTCGCGACCCTCTTTCACAGAGCGTAACAGCACCCAGGTGGGGGAGTCTTTAGGGGAGACTTCAGATGAGGAAGCCGCTGTGCGGCCATGGGTGCTACCCCTTTACCCTTGGGGTGAATTGAGAAAGGCTCAAAAAGATGGCGCGGAGGGAGAAGGAGCCGACATAGCAAACAAGAAGGAGGAAGTGAGAGCAAAGCAGCCTGGGAAAAGTACAGGGAGAAGTACAGAGAAAGAATTTGGTCCTATGCAGCACAGAAAGAAAAGCGGAAGTGGGAGCCGCCCTGCTCAAGGTCCCTCCAGTTACATGGAGGAGGAGGACCCGGAGGGGGCTCCTGAAACTTGGGTGGATGAGAAGCTAATTCCAGTTTTTTGATTTTCCCTGTTATTATTACGTACCTGTTCTGTGTTGTCTATGTGGTATGAGTGAGTGTCCTGTGTGTTATTTGTCATCCTTTGTAGCCAGGTAGCAAAAATAGCATTCCAGTTTCCAAGACTGCAGCTGGACTCTGGAATGCCACTTTCTTTCTCTCCCCTGCTCCCTCCCTTATTATAACAGCCTCAAGGGAGCGGGTGGATGGGAGAGAGAAGGAAAGAAAAATACTTTACTATTCAGGTTATATGAGTGGTAAAAGGCAAGTTGAGAAGGAGTTTCGAAATGTCAGGTCAAAATTAGAAAGGAACACGATATGTACAGGTTTAAAGGGACTTTAATCAAAGTCCACCAGAAGAAAAGGCAAGAAAGTTTAAGCATGTAGGAATGAGAGAAGTATGGGTAAAAAGAAAAGCATAATCTATTTGCATGAACAGTATGAACAGAGGGTTTGAGAGTAAAAGATTTGGAAACTTTTGAAGAATTGTTGGACAAAATAAATCTTCTCTCTCTCTCTACATTCTAACTCTGGCCAAGTTTTGAATGTGGAGGGAGAGACAAGAAAGATGGGGTACCTTTTCTCCCCAGATAAAGATACAGGTAGCGCTTAATCTTTTCTGCCTCACATAAGAGAAAAGTTTACATTAAACAAACTACCTCAGTTTATCTCACATGATTGGAAGGTGCCTAACACAATGCCTCGCAGAGGGCAGACACTAAAAATGTTAACAACTATTATTATTAGTTCTTTAATTAGATGTGACCAGTATACAATGTCAGTGACGGAGAGATGCCCGATTTTCTATGTCAGGAAATTTGGAAATGCATTCAAAAGACTTGGAGTCACTTACTTGGTAATATATTTGTTTCCAATTTTAAACGCCTGGAATTGTTTCCAATTGGTAAACTTTTGTACTAATTATATCAAGTAGCTTTTCATAAGTTGGATGTTATTAAAGTATGAATGTAAAGAAACTAAATGACAGTGAAGGAATGGTATAAAACTATTTGAAGCTACTGTTTTAATGTTAAAACCTGGAATTGTTAATTGATTACTATATGAAAAGGAGAGGATTGGCTAAAGCCTTATCCAGCTTGGTTCTGCCCATTCAAAACAGTCCTCCTTGGGAGGGCAGGCAGGGGTACCATGATCAGCCCCTCCCTGGGGTACAGAGCAATTCTGCTTATTTTGTAATCTTGCCAAGGCCCTTGGACACCATCTGTGTGGGCAAGGTCATGTGCCCTGAAAAAGGAACTTGTTTGGGTCATGCAGTTCCTAAACAATGAACTTGGCTTGCTGGAAAGTTGCAAGTTTGTGTACAATAGATAAGAAATGGTTTCCAATGATTGGCTTTTACACCAGGACAAGTTTAAATTTGAGACGGAAATCTGTTAAGTAAAATTTCTTATGTACATGGGTCCTGGTAAATCTTTATTGCTTATTACAACTCCATGAGAGTCTGGTCCCCATGGGTCCCCTGCAAACAGGGCTACCTACGCCCACATTCATCCTGAAGGGATCGTTCATTACAATCATTGATATCAAAGATTGTTTCTATAGTATTCCCCTACATCCTGAGGATAGAGAGAAATTTGCTTTTACTGTTCCCTCAATTAATTTCCAGAGCCCATCTTTAAGATACCAATTCACGGTCCTACCGCAGGGCATGGCAAACAGTCCAACCATGTGCCAAGCCTTCGTTGCTGCTATATTGCAGCCCTTGCGGAAGAAATACCCCACAGCAATCATCCTCCATTACATGGATGACATCCTTATGGCCACACAAGACCCCAACGCCCTTGAGAACCTGACCAAAGACGTTCTAGACGCTTTGCAGTCTCAGGACCTCCAGGTGGCCCCCCATAAAATCCGGGATGCCGATCCTTTTCAATACCTCGGCCATACACTTAATGACGGCCGTATTTCCCGTCGGGCACCGGAGGTAGACCTAGAGAAATGTACCACCCTTAATGACTTCCAAAAATTGATAGGGTCTATACAATGGATGCGATCTACCGTGCCTATCCCTGATTCGGACATGTATCCCCTCTATGACATTCTAAAAGGAGACTCCTCGCTCACTTCTCCCCGGCAATGGACCCCGGCCGCAAGACAGGCCATAAAGAGTATCTTACAGAGGTGTACTGCCACCATAGTGCAGGTTGACAGGACGGAACCAATTTGCGCAGTGGTTCTATCTAACGCCACTTACATCGGTTGCCTGTATCAGAAGCATGGGGTCCTAGAATGGTTCTGTGCCGAAAGGAGTAAAAGGAGTCTCCCTGACAAGCACCACCTGTTGGCACAATTTCTTACAACCCTTATGGATCGCTGTATGCAGATCTTTGGCTGCTACCCACTTCCCAGTATACCTGCTTCAGAAGCTTCGCTACGCTACTTCGCAGACTCCAGCCCGGAGTGCGCAGCCATTCTCACCACCTGTGAGCTTATCTCTCTTCTGCTGCCTCCTGTGCTTCGCGGTTGGGAGGCGCTTTCTTTACGCCCTCCTCATCGCCCTATCGCCACAGAACCCGTTGACGGTCCAAACGTCTTCTCGGATGCTACAAAGGCTCAGCGAGCCGCAGTATATATCCCTGAGAAGCGCATCCTGCAGGTCTATGATACCGAGTACTCCTCTGTGCAGAGGAATGAACTTTTTGCTATCACCATGGCTCTGAAGCTTCTACCGTTCGAGCCCTTTAACCTTATACTGACAGTCTTTAGTGTGCCGATGTGCTTCGCGACCTCCCTAATGCGCTCATTAACACCCGCTCTAGTCCTATCGCTTCTCAGCTAGCGACAGTCCAAGCTCTCTTGTTTTGTCGTCCTTTTCCTATCTATGTGTTGCATGTTCGTTCCCACACATCTACCATCGGCCCTATTTTCCAGGGCAATGAAGTAGCAGATCGTGCTTTATTATGCCCTTTGCAGACCGAGGCCTGTAACGCACATGCGAAATACCATTTATCCGCCCGGTCCTTGCGTCACCTGTATGGCCTCACTAAGGAGGAAGCATGGCAGATAGTAAAACGGTGCGTTGGGTGTGCCCCTTTTCGTCCTCTCCCGAGGGACATAGCTGTCAACCCTCCGGGGGATAAGCCTAATGCCCTGTGGCAAATGTATGTCACCCACCTTGGCTGTGGCCTCATACATGTTTCTATTGACACCTACTCTGGCTTTCTCTTTGCCACCGTACAATCCAGTGAAGCAGCCTGCCATGTAACTGCCCATCTCCTCTGCAGCTTTGCATATTGTGGAGTTTCCAGCGCCATAAAAACTGATAATGGGCCTGCGTACACCTCTCGGGCCTTTGCGCTGTTCTGCCAAGAATTTGCTATCACTCACATTACTGGCATCCCCTATAATCCCCACGGGCCAGGCCATTGTTGAAAGAGCCAACTGCCCTTTGAGAACTCTCCTTCTTAAACAAAAAGGGGGAGTTGGCGGTCGCCTTACGCAGGGACAGTTGGCACAGGCCGCTTAACAGGAGCACGGGTGATGTGGAAAAACCCAGAGGGTCAGTGGCAGGGTCCAGGTACTGTCACAGTGAGGGGGCAGGGTCATTTGTGTGTTCTTCCAGATGGTGAAACAGAGGGACGAGGCATCTGGGTCCCCACCAGATGAACTACAGAGATCCAAGAAGCGGAAAAAAAGGAAGCGGAAGCGCGGAAGCCGAGGACGCAGACGGCCGAGAGCGGAGAGGAAGCAGACTGCCGAGAGCAGACCGGAAACGGGGGCGCGCAGGCCGCGTGTTCCTCACCCTCCTGCTGATGAGCGCTGACCTGGGCCTCCTTCCCCCCGCGGGTGGGGGCTCCGGGGATGCGTGCATTTATCAGTACTTGGATAACTGTGGTAATTCTAGACTGGCAGCCTTAGAACAGACTATGCTATGGCTAGGTGATGAACTGCAGCTCACCCAACTCTATCTGCAACTCCAATGTCATTACAAGTATGCGCCTCTCTGTGTTACCTCGCTTCAGGTTAACGCTACTAATGACACCCGCTTTGCCGGCGATTGGCCGAAGGTGAGGGCAGCCCTCCAAGGGGTGCTTCTTGCCAAAAACGCCTCCAGCGACGTACAGCAGCTCTCCATGTTCCTGAAAGAAATGCACAACATCTCTGCACACTTTGAGGAGGAATGTGCCAAGGAGGCCTTGGACTTGACCAGGTGGCTTGAGAGTCTCGTCAGCTTCCAATGGTTCACTGCGCTCCTGGGGCCCGTAGCTTTCCTCATCCTCCTCTGCCTTTTCCTGCCCTGCCTATTGCGCTGCATTTGCTCTATGCTGCGTCGCGCTATCCTTGACGCCAAGGCCGATCTCCATGCCCTTATCCAGACCCCAAGAGACCACCCTGCCATAGAGACCTCCCCTCTGTAAACAAAAAGGGGGAGTTGTTAGGGCCCAGCTCTGGACCGTGGCCTCCTGTGGGGTAGTAAGA